CCGAGGGGTGGGGTTCTCTGCTGCCTGCTGTGTCCACAGCAACAGGAGCTGCTCCAGCTCAGCATTGGCATTGCAGTAGGTCCCTCCCTGTTCTCTGGGATGGAGCTGTGCCTCCCCAGCCCCTGCCAGGGGATCCTGTTGGATCAGCCCCGGGATGCAGCAGAGGGGTGACCCTGCTCTGCTCTCTGCAGGTGGAGAACAACCGCCCCGAGGGCACCTTCCAGGTGACCATGCTGCCTGGGGATGGGGTGGGCCCCGAGCTGATGCAGGCTGTGAAGGAGGTCTTCAAGGTGAGGGGGGGCTGGGATGGGGGGAGCAGAGGTGGAGGAGGGGAGCAGGGACTGGGCTGGGGACTGGGATGGAGGCCCTGAGTTCCTACCCTGCCCAGTAATGGGCTCAGGCTCAGCAGCAGCAGCAGCTGGGAAACAGCCTCATTCCTGTGGGAAACATTCCCAGCCTGGGGTTGTGTCCTGGAGCCAGCAGAGCCCAGGGCATCACCCACTGGGTCCCTGTCCCTGTGACACTGTCCAGGCTGGGAACAGGGAGGGATCACAGGCCAGTTTGTTCCCCAGATCCAACCTCCACCTCCCCTGGCACAACTTGAGGCCGTTCCCTCTTGTCCCAGGGCTTGTTCCTGGGGAGCAGAGCCCGACCCCCCTGGCTCCAACCTCCTCTCAGCAGCTGCAGAGCCAGCAGGTCTCCCCTCAGCTCCTTTGCTCCAGGCTGGACACCCCCAGCTCCCTCAGCTGCTCCTGCTCACCCTTGTGCTCCAGCCCCTTCCCCAGCTCCCCTGCCCTTCCCTGGACACGCTCCAGCCCCTCCATGTCCTTCCTGTCCTGAGGGGCCCAGCCCTGCCCCCAGGACTCGAGGTGCCCCCTCCCCAGTGCCCAGCACGGGGACACGATCCCTGCCCTGCTGCTGCTGCCCACCCTGCTGACACCAGCCAGGATGCTGGTGGCCTCCTTGGCCACATTCCCTCTCCTCACTGAGCAGGACACGTGTCCCAGCCCTCAGAGCCCCTGGGTGAGCTGTGCCCCAGCCCCCTGACCCGTGTCCCTCCTGCCCAGGCTGCCAGTGTGCCCGTGGTGTTTGATGAGCATCACCTGAGCGAGGTGCAGAACATGGCATCCGAGGAGAAGCTGGACCAGGTGGTTGACTCCATGAAGGCGAGCAAGGTGGCCCTGATCGGTAGGGGCTCTGGGCAGCCTTGGCAGGGGCAGGAGTTGCTGTGGTTGGTCCTGGGGGAGGAGTCCTGCTGGTTTTGAGCTGAGCAGCAAGACCCCAGTGCTTGCTTTACTGGTGCTGTCAAAGCGGGGCTTGTAGCACAGAATCCCAGCCTGGTTTGGGTGGGAAGGGACCTAGAAGACCACCCAGTCCCCCCCCTGCATGGGCAGGGACACCTCCCAGCAGCCCAGGCTGCTCCAAGCCCCACCCAACCTGCCCTTCAACACCCCCAGGGATGGGGCAGCCACAGCTTCCCTGGGCAGCCTGGGCCAGGCTCTCCCCACCCTCACAGCCCAGAATTCCCCCTCCTGTCCATCCTCCATCTCCCTCTCCCAGTTTTAAGCTGTTCCTCCTGCTCTTCTCCCTGTTTTGAGTTGAGATCTCTGGGATGTGCCCCCCAGAGCCGGAGGGTCCCCAGAGGGATCCTTCAGAGTGGGCTGAGGTTTTGCTGGAGCTCCCCCAGCCCTCCCCACTGGGTGTCCATCCTGGCTCCCGTTCCTCACTCCTGCTCCCTGTCTTCCCAGGCAAGATCCACACCCCCATGGAGTACAAGGGAGAGCTGGCATCCTATGACATGAGGCTCAGGTGGGACATGGGGCTGGTGCCCGGGGGGCTCTGCTGGGGGAGCCAGGGCTGGGCTGGGCAGGAAAGGAATGAAGTTGTGGGAATGGAAGGATCCTTCAGGATCCTG